TCGTTATACCGTCGTCCCGCGCTCCATTAGAGGATCTTTTGTAGTTAACCTAAGTCGCCTCTTTCTTCCACGTAGATCCTCCAGGCTCGTATCATCAAGCCTGGAGGAAAGTGCATGAAATTTATCTGAAATCGCGATAATAACTGCAGGACGGATTTCACTGTGGACGGATTTCGCGTGGAACAATCGAAATTTGCTGAAAGCCAAAGACACGCGTGTATGATGTTTCATTGGTGGCGGATAGTAGGATAACTTTGTTTGTGAGAAGTTCGAAGAGATGTGTAACGATTGAATCGCAGCACTTTTTTTTGTTTTAGATTTCTAGAGAATTGAAGACGCGCGTACGCATATTTCATTGCGGTAATAGGCCTTTATGCGTTTGTGGGAGGTTTGAAAGTGTAGAGATGTATGACGATTGACTTTTTTAGATTTCTAGGAAATTAAAGATGTGCGTACGATGTTTTATAGCGATGGATAGTAGATTTCTTGAGAAGAAATTTGGAGATGTAGATGATTAGAGCGCGGATTTTTATGTTTCTTCTTCTTAATTATACGTTTGATACTTTTTATTACGTTTTTATGCATTTATTGTTATCGTCAAAAATATTTATCTTCCTGAGAATAATTAGGTGTAGATCGTATTAGGAAGACCGAGTATTTTTTTGTGTATCATTGTTATTTACTAATAGGCAAGTTATTCGCTCGATGGGGAGAAATTCACATTGTGCCCGTTCTCACGTAGAAAAATGAGGGACTAGAGGACTCATCTTCTGGAAAATCGGCCCGTAGAAAGCCGATTGTCAATGAAGATGTCGGCATATGTATGTACATGCATACGTACACGTTCGTAAAATAATTTAATTCCTCTTTTAGGTGTCTCTCGTTTACGATTATACACTATACTACAAAATTACCTTGTAAAATTTGCACAATTCGTTTCACTATTTTATTCAAATAATGATCGCTATTACAATTATAGTTGTAATCTGTTATAGTTAAACGTACGAGACGTTGTTTTAATGAAGTAATTGGATCATTTTTAATAAAGTAGTGTTACAAAAATCTGTATTTTATCAAAGATTAATTGCATTACATTAATTAATTACATTACATTAGTTACGTTAGAAAATTAATTACATTAATTACATTACTCGAAATTAAATATTCTTTTTAACAAGAATTTAGAATTTTTGATTAAATTTAATTATCAAATCGATAGTTGGTTTAAAAGAAAATTCAAATTCTTATATAATATTTATGACAATTAGATTGCAGCGCGTACGATTTTATATTTTAATAATGAAATACTGATAGAGACATTAATTCCAAAGTTTGTATCCATTTAGGATGTCTTTTATATTTTTACATATTTTGTGCATCTTACAAATTTTTGGAATCTTGAATTTCGTAAAATTTCATGATCATCCGCACAGTCTAGCAATAACATTTCAACAATCTTAACTTTTCACAACCAAAAAGAATGTATGATGTAAATTCAACTTCATCCAACTCAATTGAATTTTATAATATGTTGCAATGACTGGTGCATTGTATTAATTAATTAATGCGTTATAGTTAATTAAAAATCATAATTATTTAGAATTACAAAACTCAAGCTTTTGGAATTGCTTGGATTTAATTTAATTCAACTAAAAATTCCAAAATCCTAAGACTTGATAATTTTAAACAGTTATGATTCTCAACAGTTGAATGACATCGGCTAAGACTTAATTATCTTGTCAATCAAAAATTACATCACACTACATTATATTTACGTTATTCTTTGTTCATCGCGACACCGTGGGAAAGCGTTTCTTTGACTACCGAATCGTTTAACTTATGATGCGCATACGTAAGTATGTAAATACTTACATGCCAAGAATGACATGTGTCAGATGGTCAAACGCAAGATTCTCAAAAGTGAAATCTACGTCAACAGCCTGAACAAGCGGCTTGTTCGTAACACACTTGCGTCTCGTTCTTTCGACGCCCGCTGAAAATATTAATAAGATGTTGGACCAACCGCGGCTGAATAGATTATTCGGCGATTTTAGAAACTTTCTAAAGATGTCCACGCGAGATTAGTCAGAGGGATGCGTGCGCTTCCCTTTGCTTCAAAGCGTCTCAAACGTAATACTACTGGAAAGACAGGAATTTGGTACGTCACGTAACGAGATCTCTCTTCTAATCTTTCTCTTCCGATCTTCGTGATTATCATTTCTCAGATTTTTATTTCTCTGCCTCCCAGGATTATGTTGTCACGATCATTTGCTTGGAACATTCGTAGCAGAGGGATGTTGACGACGTACAAGAATTACAGCTATTTCTTTCAAGTATTGTGGACTTTTTCGGACGTACACTGCTCTCCAACTCGATCTCGATTAAATGCAATTAATTTCTGACTGTCTCGTTAACCAAAAATACCGTGAAAGTGATAATACCCAATCCACCGAAATTAATTTCCCCTTTCGAGGCAACAACAACCGTTATTAAGCGTCGAACGACTGCAAATTGTCGGTAGTTTCATCCCACGACCCGAATATTTGTACACGTCGCTTTGTTACACGCTAACTCGATGCATTTCCATGGAAACCCTTTTCAAATGGCACTTTCTTCATAAATGTCAAGAGTTACACGACGACGGTGCAACGTTCGCGCATACAACGGCGCGGAATCTTTTCCACTGGGCCAGGATCGATGCGAGGAACGCGTGAAAAAGAAATCGAATGAATTTCCTATGCGTTGCAACGTTAGGGACATTGTTCGCAGGGGACAGAAGTGTTTTATGCCCGGTAGGCATTCTTCAGCGGAGCCAGAAATAAAAATTGCTTTTCCTTTTCGGCCGTAACCGATTTAACGACCGGTGTGAAAGTTCGCCGCTGAGGTAACATCCCACTCGAACACCGAAGGGAACTTGCGAGCTAACCAAGGTGTGGTTTCAAACGCGGATGATCTGTTTCTCGAGTGTGTCGAGACAATAAACCTGTGTTCCTTTTATGCCGTGAGAAAGCATATTGGTAATAGGTAATTGTTGTTGTTCTTCTTCTTCTTCTTTCTTTCTTTCTTTTTTTTTTTTTTTTTGTTAGTAAATCGAGTTTAGATGAAGTATCCCAATTCTGGGGAAATGTTGCAGAAAGAATTCCTTCATGCTAGTTTACTTTATGGTAATTCTAATTACAATAAATTATAAAGTTATAATGTTGCAGAAAGAATTCCTTCATGCTAGTTTACTTTATGGTAATTCTAATTACAATAAATTATAAAGTTATAAGATAAATTGTAATATTGATGGAGAAAGACGTTTTACAAAGTAAAAGTAAAATTAAAAAGTAAGATCATAATATATAAATTATAATAATCTTGTAAATATATAATATAGTCTTGTAAAAATTATCAAATTATTTCATATAAATTATATAAAATATAATTATGATCGTGTGATATTACAAATAAATTATAATTGTAAATAACATAATTTTATAAGATTGCAACATAAATTAACACAGGGCAATAATTAAAAGACAAGTTGTGATATATTCATAAAAATCTTCTACTGAGTATTATTCGAGGTTTCATCTTTCAACACAGATTGCCAGTGAAGGAAACGATAATAAATTTCTATCGAGTAACAAGTGGTACGTCGTAAAGATAAACGTGATAATAACAGGAATCAACGATAATCTAACCGAAGATTTCAATTACACTTTACTTTGTTTCATATCTCTCTTTTGATAGAAATTGCCAGTCATGGTTTTCAACCTACTTTCTACCACTAGAAAACACGATAGTTGTTTAAAAATTGAACTCGTTGAATAATTGAGTGATATTTATAACAACTTGAGATCGAATTATGATTAGTATGAAACGATTGTGAATAGGCACGAGCGAACGATCGCACGTTGCAAAAAGAAATTCGCAGCACGAAAGTGGTATTTGTAAATTGTAGTCTTCGAGTAAGATCAGACAATGATCTTGCATCGTTTTACGCTAATCGAAAATGAATTTTCAATGAATTATAGCACATTGTTCGTTCAATTATACATTTCAATTATTAACTCCAGGATTTTTTATATTAACAAGAATATTAATCATTATAAATCGTCATATTAATAATTATTACATGACCATTAATATTATTAAATATAATTATATATTATAAATTTATTACGTATAAAAATATATTATATTGTGTATAATATTATAAGTTTATTATGTATTAATATAGAAGTAATTTAATTTATTTAATCTCTAATAATTTGCTTTCACTGACAAATAGCATTTGTTAATATAATATTCAATTTGCTGTATGCTTATTAATGAAGTATTTTTTTACCATTTATTAACAATGCATTAGCCATGTAGTCTTCGTAATTATAGATTAACTAACAGGTTAAAAGATGATTTGAAAGCCTGTTTTACATTAAACGTGTAATATCTTTACGCGGCGAAGTTTCACACGTTTATATAAATATTCTTTCGTAATTATGTAAAAATCGAAGTTCGACATTTCTAAAAAGAGAAAATTATTGTGAAACGTTCGGCGAAATTTATTCACGCATTCATACCGAATTTATGAAGTAATGCTCTTCGTTTAATTAACCTAGAGGCTAGAATAAATTTGCACTCCCTCGAGCACACACGCATAACTAACTTCTGGATCCTTTCTATTTGAGAAACCTTCTTTTGAGAATTCTTTCTATTTTTACTTAAATTATATTTATTTGTTACTTGTTATTTTAATATCGTAATACAGCTGAATTTTAATATTAGAGCAACCGATCTCTAATACGTACAAATCATTATAATTTCAGTGATGATAATTAGAATAAATAGAATTATATTATAAAAATTCGATTTATTGCATTATTATTATTGAAATTTGTTACTAAAACCCACGTATATAAAAATAATACATCAAAATAATAATTACGCTCATTGGAACTAAATTTCATACACTTTGAAATTTAATCAGTAGACAATATTTCTCTGTAACCTTCCAGGTAACGTTAGTGCTACTGTTGGCGACAGTGTCGATCAGCCTGGCGAGCTCTCAAGCGACAGAGATCTCCGACAAGGGTTTGCAAGTGACTCAAGCACCGATAAAACTGGACAAGAACCTTCGGCGAGCTCTCTTAAAAGCCCTGACCGACTTGGAAGCGGAATCGGCCGAGCAGCATAGAGACGAATTGGAGACGATCGTTCAGAGGGACACGAACGAGTTCGAGGGTATGGCAAAGAAGAACCTGAACGATGATATCGGCGTGCAAAAGACCACGTTCTCGTTTAAGAGTTTCCCAAGCGACGACGACATACCGAGCGAGGATAAACTGCAGAATTCCAATTCCGTCGAGACGGTTCGTTACGTAACGCTGAAAGCACCTGTGATGAACATCGAGAAAGCCACGCAGGAAGACGCCAGGAGCTTTCACGTTCAAAGCGTGGTACTACCGACGAAGAAACCGATGACCTTCGGAGCCAAAACCGAACCACGGCCAGAACAGAGAGAGAAAACGACTCAAGCTACGGTGAACACATTTTCCGTGAATAGAGTGGAAAGTTTAACTTTGAAGCCAACGGTCGAGATCTCTGAGAGTCTCACGGGGAGTGCCACCAACGGGATTGCCGCTGCTAATGCTCTAGTTGCTCCAAAACCGACTGAAGTCACTCCCATAGTTTCACGACCAAGCAACGCGACAGTAACCGATTCCAACGAATCGAAGGACAAAACGGAGGAGGTGAAGATCTTCCAGGCACCTTTGGTCGCAGCATTTACCGTGCAACAGGACGAGCGAGGCGTGCCGAAAAGCGTGGTTCCAATATTTCGATCACCAAACGATGGACAAGCTTTGACCCTGCAGGAACAGTTGGAATTCAAACAGCAACTTCTGGAGAAGCAACTGGCGGAGCTTCATCAGCAACAGATTCAGCAGACGCAGTTTTTAGTGAGGCAGCAGCAGTTGTACGAACAGCAGCTGAGACAGAAGCAACAGCAGCAGCAGTACTATCTTCAGGAACAGGCCAGGATTAAACAGCTGGAAGAACAGGCTAAGCTTAAACAATTGGAGGAACAGGCTAGAATCAAGCAATTCGAGGAGCAGAGACTGAATAGGTTCCAGTCTCAGCGACCTGTGCCGCAGAAGCAATTCTTCTTTGAACCAAGTAACAACTTCTTAACGTTCCAGCCACCCGTCGAGTCGAATGTTCACCTGCAGCCTAGTTTGACTTTAGAAGTACCAAACGTTGGCGCGCCTCCAGCCTTTCAATCAACCTTCCAGTCGGATCAGTTACGTCTGCAATCGTTCAGGCAGCATCAGCAGCCGCAACATCAGCTTCAACAGCAACAACTGCCGCAGTTACAACATCCTCAACAACTGCAACAGTTGCAACAGCAGCAACAGCATCAGCAACAGAGACTGCAACAAAGCGTCGGCTCTTTCTCGAACGATTTTCAACCACCGGTAGCGTCTACCTCGAGGTTCAATAGACAAGAAGCCTTCAATTCTGTTGGAAACTTCGGTTTCAACGCGGACAACAAGGCGAGTAGTGGAAACTTTGGTTTTAACCCGCCGCAGAGAACTCCGGCGCATTTTTTCAACCCTTTCACGCAGTTCAAGCCACAGACGAAGCCTCCGACGCCTGCCAGACAGATTCAACATCTTCTTTACCAATCTGGTATCGCCGGAGATTTGAGCAGCGTTCAAGGTATTGGGAATCCAGAGGATGTGAATATCGTGTCCAAAGTTCTGGCTCTGAATGTGGGTGCTCTGCCGAATAATCAGTTCACAACATCCGCGGGGAAGACGTCCGCGTGAAGAAAGAAACAGAAGGAGGCTGACGTTTGATGAGTCATGTCAAATCGCTGCAGGACGGTACTAGCAAAGTGAAATCGAGCTCTCACTTCTTCACTCTTTCGGTCCTCTTTGACCGCCTTCCTCGTCTCCAATCCAACGTGACGTGTCCCGTAGGAATTCTTGTCCCGGCGAATGGCGATGAGATTACATTAATTTGATACTTGCTCGCCTTTGGAAGGACCGATGGAATGTTGGAGATGGTTTCTGCTGGATTCAGGTTTTTAATTCTTGTTACTACGATTTCTTTGTCAATCTTCTTGAAATTTTGGCATTTCGCTGAAGGTCAAGCATTAATCGCGGCAGAACTTCATTTAAACAAATACGTGTACACGCGTGTGTAATAAGAATATTGATTTTCTTTTGTTTTTCTAACTGATGATCATATTCTCTTATTATCATATTATATGTTTCAGTATTTGTATTTCTTTGTCAAAATTAATACAAATTCTGTGATTAACTAAAATTTCGTCGTAATGGAGTTCTACTATTTTGACAGAGCGGGAACAATAATTCATTAGAGATAAATTAATGAGAACACGTAAACGTCGTAAAGACTATTTGATGTCTTGCCTAAGTTTCGTTGTACATTACGAAAAAAATTAATCAAACCTCTTGCCTCTTAATACTCGCAATACTTGAATTAAGAATAAATCATAACGATGCAGACTATACTCGTACCAAAGTTCGTCAATTGTACCTCTAAATTCAACTCATTTCTCCTAATTTCCTAATTACAATTACTCGCCAATTAAGGGGCTCAATCTTTCCAGTTTCAAAGCAAATGTTATACAAAAATCTACTTGCCCTAATACTTTTGACCAGGCTTGTATACGTATGTTCATCGAAACGATCATAAGGCAAGGCATATGTTCGAGATGACTCCGTCGATTATTCGCAAGACTTGCTTTCCAGTAATGAAATGTATTGGCAATGCGTATATTGTAACGAGCACGAGCGCAATCTCGGGCAATTCCGAGTGAAATCGAACCGAAACAGTTCGCACAACGAGCGTGCAACAGCTCACTAGCTGCAAGACGCGTGGGATCGAAACGATTCCCCGAAGAAAAACGCGACTTTCCACCGACATCGCGACGTCCTCCTCGCAATAAGAAACACCTAGACGAACTTAAATGATATTAACTAGGATCGGGAAGATCTTCAGCTTAGGGATTCACCGTTTTGCATCAGACACGCTCATGAATTTTGTAATCCGTGTTGCAACACGCAGATTCTGTACATAATCGCACAATCCCTTACTTCCTAGCCTCGATTTCGCTTTCCTTCTTTTTCTTTTTCTTTTTTTTTTTGCTCTCCCATTTTCTCTTCTTTTCTTTTTCTCTCGTCCATGTCTGCGTCTTGTCTCTCTCTTTCTCTTCTTTTCCATTATTCTACTATCAAGTTTCGTCACGGTTGTCCGTGAAACGTGCTCAATCGTAAAGAACCGAGCACCGTGAAATTCCCTTGCGGATGAGGTTGCGAAGGAACTGATTCCCTCGTTGATGGGATATTGATTGGCGTGAAGATACCACGAAGGGATTTAGCCGGTGTTCGAGACGGTGTTTCGCCGGTAATAATTATTGTTAATGTAAGACGAGCAAGGAATGAGAGGATGGCGAGTGACTTGCAGAGTATCCTGGAAGTATTTGCTGGTTGATTAAGTTATGATATCATGGTACTACAATTAACAATGTTATATATATACTTCAGTTTTATATACAATAATTTATAATATTTTAATGCTTCAGTAATTTATAACATAATAATTACCTCAGTGTTCTTTTTTTCTTTTTTCTTGAAATTCGAATCCAAGCAAACACATAACGATGAAGATGTCGTATCGAAAGAGGGAATTTTTGACTGAATAAATTGATTAATTTCAATATTCCAAAATTCTTGGTACTTTGCAGTGTTAATTGTTCAACCGAAAGACCAACACAGAATAATGTCCAATGAAATGTCACGTTAGTCCTTGAACGTGTCAGATTGGTGAAAAGTAAATGAGCTAATTAAATATAATTATAAATTCGTCGTATCTTTTCGTTATAAAGGATTATAAAGAGATTTTGGTGAATATTATTTTTAATTCTCTGCAAGAGGTTTTTTAAATTGAATTTAAAACATAAATAAACATACAAATATAAGATCAAAGTTCCTTAATTTATTGCTAGAGAAGTAATGTTACATTGTAATCTCCTAATCGAGTGTACTAGCACCACGAAAATTTCAAGGACCTTGGCATAATCTCCTAATCGCGAAAACCTAATTTCCATAGATATGAATATTAATTAGCCATTTGTTTTCCACCAACTGAGCACCTGATTCTCCACCAAAAAAAGAACAATAGCAAATACAGAGAAAAAAAAAAAATTCGCAACCACACTCTGCGCAACAGCCAAAGCCAAAATCCTTGTGCAATCGAAGTTTTTTGGAACATCGCGTTGAAAGCAGTAGTCAAGATAAGATATTTCTGCAACGACGAACAATAATAGTACATACGATAACATACAGCATAACTATACTGTCCAAGTCGAGGTGATTAGTTATTTATCTGCACATGTAGCTGTACGTGGTCTGTTTCAATAGGAAATGAGATTATTTGCTTTATACGTCAGATTTATAATTCTGGACGGAAATTAATGTGGTTTTGAAGTATTTTGATCACGTGTACCATTATCTAGTATCGAGTAACTTCGTTCATATATATTTGCATTATTATTCGAGTAATTTTAATTTAAAAAATTTTCTTTTGCAACTCATTACTTTTGTAACAGACTCTATGTACCATGTGTCCGTATATACACCGAAAAATGAACACGCTGCAGAATGATCTAGCACGTCTCCATCACCGACGTGGAATTTAACTCTCCTGAGATCAAGGGTCTCGCAAAATCGTGCATCCGACCGCGCTTCGGGATTGAAAATACCTCGCCGACTGTAAATAAACTTTCGCCACGAGAGACGCCTCACAATGCCACCAGGAAAGAGTCCCAGCACGAATGTGTTTACGTGCATGTCCTCAATTTCACAAACGTTTGGCATAGATTCGTGATTTTCTCTCCGGCGTGCGGATCGATGGATCTACCGTGTCTTGGAAGGAAGTCGATTATATAAATCAGTTATTCAGGAAGCGATGAATTAATTCGATTTATTTATTAAATTGACGCTAGAAGTGCCAAATCAGCGAAAACGAGTGATTGAATTGTTTGGCAGATCTTTTGTTCTTGCAATTATTATGAAATTTCAGCAATTATTAAAATTGCACGAGTGCTTTTAACAATTATGGGTAATAATAATACAATTGGATTATTTTATTTCTTTCTGCTGTTATATTTGGCTTAATTCTAAGTCTTTGGCTACAGGACTGAATAAAAATGTAACACATTTAAAGATAGAGATGTTTTGTATATTTGAAAGAGGAAGATATTGTAAATTTTATTGAGTATTTTGAGAATGTTAAATTTAGGCATATAACATAAAATATAATATATAATTTGAAGAAATATTTGGACAAAGTTATAAGACGATAATTGGAATTTCTTTCATTTATCACATTGATATTTGGTAAGATCTCTTTCCAGTTGTAATCTATTATACTATATTTAAGTACATAATAAAAGATTGTTAAATCTAGTGTTAATTACAGTTTGTAGCATAGAATTATCACCTTCAGGTATATATAATATATATAATTTCACATTGGTAATACCACTTGACTCTTCATAGTCTCAACATACACCTGAAAACATTAATTTTAATAATTATTAATTATTAAATTAATAATTTAATTTTCACGGATTAGGCCGTGAAAATTTCGAAATTAAGAATTACGGTAATATTTACAAATAAATATGAAAATCTATATTCGTGTGCAAATGAAAATGATCCTTTTCTTGAAATTTGTATTCGTGCTGAAAATTTTGACAATCGTTTGTACGTAGAACAATAAAACGAAACGTGTGTAGGATGCATTTCACGCAAGAACTATACAATAAAGACACAAGCGTGCAAGCTGTTTTTAAACATGCATTAAGACTTGAACATACGTTAAAAATTAATATAACATTAGGGTAGGTGATATTAGATGTAATCGACAAGTTTCCCTTGTAATTTATCTGACGCCAAACTGTTACGATCTTCGAAACTGTAAAGATGTTAATAAACTAATTCGTTTAAAAAAAAAATGTATCCCTCCTCGTTCTTTCCATATAAATCTTGCTTTTAAGAAATGGAACTACCCCTTTTGTAACAATAAATTTATAACGGTAATAACTAATTTTATAAACTCTTTCTTTCTGTAATCGACGTCGCCGCTGTTTATCTCGTTTTAAAAATGAGCGCGCCGGCACTAATCGCGCCAACGTCGACGCCACCTCTCGAACAAAACAAAGATGGCGGAGGACAAGATAGGTTCGTTGGAGGAAGAAGCTTTGAAAAGGAAAGAACGGTTGCAAGCTCTGAAACGGAAAACTGAGGATAACAAGGAAAACAAAAACGAAAGTGCCAGTAAGTTACCAAAGTGAGTTTCGTTCTTTTCAAGTAGTTTCAATTTCTTAACCTCAACTATCCGAAGATTCGGAGGATTTAACGTTTATATCTGCGTTTGTTCATGTCATTGTGACAGACCGAAATTTCGGAGTTACAAACCGCAAGATGAGAACCTCAAAGACAAGGTATTAGAAGACGCGAAGCCAGGAAATGTAGAGGAGGAGGTGCAAGATCAATTGAGCGCTGCAAATACAAAAGTTGTTATAGAGGAGCTTGTAAGTAATTGTTCTCCGTATCTGTTGTTATTTTGATATTTATTTAATCAAATACGAAAGTTGACATAGAGGAGATTATTAGTAATTCTTCTCTGCATCGGTTGTCACTTTGTTATTTATTTAATCAAATGTGAGAGTTGTCATAGAGGAGCTGTCTCTATATCTGTTATTTTGATATTTACTTAACGTAATTCTATAGGATATTAGTAATCTAGCCCCAAGGAAACCAGACTGGGATTTGAAGCGAGATGTTGCTAAGAAATTAGAGAAATTAGAGAGGAGAACTCAGAAAGCGATAGCCGAACTCATAAGGGAGCGTCTAAAGCAAGGGCAGCATGATTTAGCTGCTGTGGTGAACATAGCAACCAATGATCAGACAAAATCACCCATCTGATATTAATTTCTGAAACGTTTTGTCATATTTTGGTAATTTTGTATATACGAGTATAATATACACAATAATAAAGTATATTAATATTTATTATCATCTAAATCACAAAGATTTCAATACAATACATTTCATAGTTACATTCGTGAAGAGAACTTATTATCTACAAGATTAAATAAATTATATGTATATTATCATGGCAGCAGTAGGAACTGTTGAATAAATATATGTTAAAATTTTTGGTAGGCTCCAACTTAGAGAATACTTCACATTTAAATTTCATTATTGTTTCTTTTCTACTTCTACTGCTTCAATTGTCACACTGTGAAAAAAATGACTATAGGATAACATTTGTGCATGTAGTGCTTATAATCAGTCAGTGTAAAAATACATTCCTTAAATATTTATGTACATTGTTTAAAAATTACATGGTAATATACATGTAATCGACGAAAACGAAAACATTGATTTCTACTCTTCTAGAAATAAGTATCTCAAACAATAAAATCTTTGAATAGAAATGCTTCGAAAAATATAAATAATATCTTTGTCATAAGAAAACGTATTATATAAATACTTATGTTGGATCACTTTGAATTACACGATAGTCAAATTGGTTGACTAGATCTTGTATTATTGATATGGTAACAGAAATATGACTCCAAGTATCACTGCAAATGCTGCAACAGAGATAAATAATAATCAAGAAACATATAATTATCCAATATTTGAAATTATATTACTTTTTTAGAATTAATATATGTCATATCATTAATCTTAATTATTAACTCATAAAAATTATTTTCCTAGACTTATTTACATCATACCATTAAAAAAATTTGCAATTCTAAATAGAAAAAATACACACGTGTTACAGGCCACATGCTTGATGCAGAATTTTCACCATTTTTATTGTTATCCATAGGACTCTCTGTAACATCATTATTTATAGTTTCCTGCTTCTTGGCGGGAGAAGATGCAGGAACAGAAGCAGTAGAAGGAGTTTGTTTAAAAACTGGCGAAATTGTGGAAGGTTCCGCACCAGCGATGTTACGATAGACCGTTCTGCCGTCTAATGGTTGTACTGGACGGAAATTATGCGTTAAATTCGTGCCATCAGCGGATTGAATACTGCGGAATGCAGCCAGCTGCAAACAAATCAAGTAAATATAGACAATTAATTATGACTGTTAGTGGAATTCCAAACAATTCTCTCTTTCTCTTAATATTCCACTAATTGTTTTCAGAATATTATGTTTATATTTGTTCACTGATCGTTTATATTTGTTATATTAATATTTGTTCACTGATCGTTTTCAGAGTATTTATAAAATATTATTGAAATAAGTTCGATTTATTATACATAGGATATATTTAGAACGTCTTTTAGTGTGCACTTAGATCTTGGAATATCTTTAGAACACTTAAAATATCATCAGAATATATTTTGCTAATTTTACTTGGAATATTCAGAATATTATCAGAGTATATTCTGCTAATTGAATATTATCAGAATAGATTCTACTAATTAAACTTAAAACATTTAGAATATCTTCTCTCGCTAGACTTCACGTCAGCGACTGAAATTCCAGTCCAGTTCATTCGCTAACGTGGTTTGTCAATTTCATAACTAAGAATAGAAGTTTATTTAACCATTGAAAGAAATTACTTTCTCCTCCCCGGTAAAAGGTTTCTAATAATCAAGCTACGAAAGAAAGCGTTTGCCAAAGATGTTTGTACAATATTCGTCCACGGTCCCTGTTAGACGATGTTAGAACTCAGACAAATACTTTAAAAGCACCTTGCACGCCAATGAAATTTCTGTCGAACTCGGTTAAATTTCGAAATACCTGTTCGTGGGAAATATGTTGAGGTTTCACGAAGTCGATCCATTGAACGATCTCGAGGCAGGGAGGTGTGGTCAGTGATCCTCTATACGTGAAATAATTTTGCGCTGATGCAATGTCAGGCGCGACCAATTTCTTTAGAACGTTGTTATCACTTATTGTTATGTTGCTGCCAACTCCGACTATATCCGGTATTTGCTGCACGATCGATTCGAACATTGGATTCGGTTCATCCGTGGCCTGTAACAATCATTTTCTGAATAAAATTGTTCTAACGGGATTATAAATCATCTTAGAAATACTCTCTTAGAAATCATCTTTCTTTAGCTTCAAACTGACGTAAAAAGTCGGTCTCTTTATTTTCAAACTAACATCAATTATCGAAGTATTTCGTATCTGTATAACGATTTTCTATTTTCAAAAGGAAGAAACTTGCGAATGTGTCAATTATTTGTTTTCTGTAGGCATTTCTCTTAATAAAGTTACTACAATATTCTTTCCATCCTTCTTTCTTATCTTCTATAAATAGGAGATTCGATCCTGATCGAATTTGTAATATAAATGTAGATAAAGAATTTAGTATTATTTCCTATTTTTGGAAAATAAAATAAATACATCAATTATGTTCGGCCTACCGAACACAATTGGTGGCCAAACTATGCGAAAAATAAATTCATCGAGCCAGGGATAATAACTTTCAAATTTATCATTTTCTTTACGGTAGGGTTTTCCCGTGACCCTCTCATGTCCTTTCTATAATTTCATTGTTGCAATCATACCAATTCCAAGGCTCTTAAGTTTCCTTATTGCAAAATAAATATAAAACGAGAATAAAACTCAGGCCAAGAGGTAAGCGTAGCAAATGCGTCCCTCTGGCCTTGGTACTGCAGTTAAGGCCAACAAACATATAAAATATAATGCGAAGGACGCATCCTAGGCCCATAAGGTAATTGTAAATACTACTTTATGGGACCGACCTCGCTCAACTGCACTTCTTAACTTAATTAGCTTTCACGGGAAAAACACAATAGAGTCTACTTTGGTAGTTCAGCAGGAGAGTTTAAGCGAGTTCAGGATCACAGTGTGTCTACATTCAGCATTCTCAGTGCGTTTTCTTTTTCACAGTATTTTCACATTCATCAATTAACTCTCTTATTTACTTGCTCTTACATTCGTTCCTTACTGATATAATTCATGTTTGTCTGATTATTTAAATTATCCAGTCAAATTATTTAAATTATCCAGTCAAACCTAACACTAATCAGAATTTTAACTTGAACCAGCTGCCCTTCGTTAACGTTGAAGGCAGCAAGCTATACCGATCAAATCATAATAAAGTCTAATATGTTGATTCAAATCGGCAAAGTATCTACAAATTATCTTTTTTACATTTCTCTTAATAAAACTACCAGAACGAAGCACGGTTGCAATGTTCTTTTCATTGATTAAAATCATCTTAACATTCAAACAGATTTCGGTGGGATTTATTGAAGTGTGAGCATAGATAAGAATAGAATTTGTATAAAGTGCTTCTATTTTTAAAAAGCAAACTTTCGAAAGTATCCTTCTTTTCGTTTATTTGTTCATTCCCGCTCGGGCAGATTATCCGAATCAATTTAAAGAGATCCAGAATGACACTGGATGAATGTAAAGGATTACGTACGCACAGCTAGTTAGCACCGTATGTGCGTTTACATAACTGATTTTACGTTTGGAGTACGAACACTGGTGTATATAACTCTTACGAAAACAGATACTATGTACATAGTATATCCATAATGGAAACGTTATAGCAAGACGATTCTTCCTCCTACGATTTCACTTGGAATTGCTTGAAATTTTCATTGATAGAGACTAGAGGATTTTCGTACGAACCTCGTGAATTATTACAAATGAATGATAGATAGAAAAAAACAAACATAAACAGCATAAATAACTCTATTATAAGTATGATAACGTTTGTGCAAATCTTATGGATTATTTTAAATAAGTCCATTATGTGTGAAGAATAAATCTATAAAATAAACATAAATCACTTTGTTATAAGTGTATATAATGATTGTACAAACTTTATGAATAATTATAAATAACTCTATCATAAATGTATAATAAAATCTATAAAATAAGCCCTATTATAAACTTAAGAGTCTTGTAAATGACTCTTTTGCGAATTTTTCATTAAATAAATTAATTAAAAGAAATTTCATCCATTACGTATTATTAGAAGTATCAAATATTTTATACGATTTTTTAAATATTGTAACTATGAATGAAAATTTCGTGAATTCACTAGTTTTTCATTACTGTATCTTCCATCTGGATTCTACAATTTTATAAAGTTTCAAGAAATCGAAGTATTTATAATATTACGATAAATTATCGCTTGGTCCTTAATAGATTAATCCTCAATCTTGGCCTTAAATTAATTAGTCCGATCTCTCTTATTAAATTAAGATAATTGTTAATATGTACTATTTATATACCTGGTACAAATATCCGAGCACAGTGAGTCCATCATCTCGCTTTATAGCCTCGTCATACGAGCCGTATTCCTTCTTCCAAAGGACCACGTGCAGTTCCATAGAAAACGAATGATTGTTGATCAGATCCTCGGATCCTTGATTATCATTTGGACCCCAATGGAAATGCAGTTGTTGGAACACGTACGTGCTGTTGATAGGCCCTCCCGATATCGAGGGGACGTTGGAATCGAAACTCTGGATCATCACTAGAAAAATCGATATCGTGTGTTTATCTGACGAAATAGTCTTATTTTCTGGAGGCCATTTTTCTAATGCGCGCAATTCATTGAGGTTTCATCTTAATTGCGGCAAGACAATGTCTATGACGTGCAATAATCAATGTTAATTTGCAACTATTCAAGGATAAGAGTTACGTTCGAGGAACGCTCAGAATAATCGGAATGATGATCGGCGCATCAAATTTTTGAAATTTTTCTATTTTTATGGTAACGATGAAAAAAAAAAAGTGGAAAAATTTCTCAAGCATTCTTGTGTTCGCAAGATTGCTGGAAACTCGGTGTTGAATGCGTAATTGCTAGTTTTTACATACTCGTTAACTTTAATTTCCGAATGATTCAACATTTTAAACATTTAAACAACGAGTGGCATATCGCTAAAAATTAAAGTGACCTACAGTTATATATTCATATAACCGATACCGTGTAAACTGAAAGTCCCGCATTCACGTGTCCGCATTTTGAAAATTTTATTTCACGGACTTTGATCGATATATCCATTGAATTTTGTTTTTTATACCATTGCAAAATTGGAATTTGATCAATATATTATCATCAAAATACCAAGTGACTTATTTATAACAATTATTATTAGTTTCCAGATTTTTAGTTGGAGCAGGTAGATACAAGTGATTAATAATTTTACAATAATTTAATCGATACAATCTTAACATAATAATTTGATAATATATAATAATGATTGCGACAATTGTATGTAATAATTTAAATAATGTAATCGTGATACAACTTCTATTTATAGAGAGTTAAACAGTATGAATAACGATCGAATTTATATTCCAACTCGATGTGTCTTGAGAAAAATAGGAACATTTAATATTCTAATGTGCAAGTACGTACATGATGATGAAAATGCAAAAGGATCTAATGCAAAAATAAACGAATGACAAACAAATTCGTATTCTAATTAGACGACGCAATATCCTTAGTATGCAAAAGGATAAAAATAGTTACGTATAGAGAATTATTGATTCTTAAATTATCATTGTATCTAGCAACTATAGACATTGCATTGCAATGTCATGAAATGAATATCCATCTGAATCACGCATATTTAATGTCGGTCTCTTCACATAACTTGTTTGCTCTTTGTTCTTAATAAATCATTGGAAAAAAGTTTCCGGTACTATAATCCTTCGTAATGTACTATCATTGCGATTATCAATAATATTGTTGAAACAGTTTCTTTGATCAACAGACTACGAACTTGGCAAATGATTGATGCTCTTGAGAATGTAATGAAAGTAGTAGAAACATCAATATCAAATGTTCTACAAAGAGTGAATTGTGATTAAAATGAAACAATGAAAGTAATACTAATACTAAATATTATTAACTATTATAGAAGATTGTCATTAAAATAATAGTATATTATTCTTATTATTACTAAAATATGAATACTAAAAATATAAGCATCAAATATTATAGAAAATATTGATAGTAAAATTGATATATATTAATTTTACAATTTTATTAATTATATTAATTTTTAATCAATTTATTTGATAATAAAACTATGAACATTAAATATTATAGAAACTATATAGATAGAAAATTGTTTTTGTGCTAAATATTATAGAACGTGCTATATCTTGTTAGATTTGACTATTTTTTTCAAAGTGCATTCTATGCATATTCTAATTTCATACTTTCCCAAAATTTCCTTACGAATACATAAAAAAGTTAGCAATTTATTAATTACTGAGCTTCCTATTGTTAACAAATTTTCACGAATTTTTCTTTGCAAAGTCAGACATACGACCAAAGTCGAAATTTTGACAATTATCAACTCAAAGAGGAAAGAATAATGGTTATCAGTCGATAATGGTTTTCTGATAATCACTTGTATCTATCTATAACGTTTCAACAATGTAAAATGCTTTTTTCATGTACAGAAGACTAGACGATGATTATCATACATTTATATACATGCTCGTCAATATATCGACCTTGTTATTTCATACCTGTATGGCCATTGTTTGTCATATAAGCCTTATGGGAACCTTCGACGCCAGAAAATTGCAGTTCTGGAAAAGTCATTGTTGTTACATCTTTTTCTTCAATGTCGATCGGCGACTGGTATTTCCCTAAACACGTCTTGTATTCTTTGCCCCAGTGTGACGGACCTGGAAATGAATTTTTTTTTTTGAATTTCTGAAACGTCGTTCGTTTAATAAAAAAAAAGAGCATAATAAGTGCTCATTATGTAAACTATTCCACGTCTGAGTCGTAAGTACGAGTTGGAAAATGTTGAAATGTTGAATAATTAATGGCGTTCCAAAGAATGGCATTTATGCCGACGTGTGAAGAAAAGGAAAAGCGGATTCATCACGTTGAAATGATAAACAAGCTACTTACAGATTCTTGCTTATCGTAACGTAAATTAGTCTTAAATGTCTATCTCTCTCCCCCCTTCCCCTTTTTTGTTCTTATATACAAATATTCACAATTAACTTACCATTGGTGCCATCGTAGCTGAAGTTGCCGGCAACTAGATCTAAAATGAAAGCAAACTGCACGTTAATTATCTGTTTATAGTTCTTATTAGACTGTGGATTTTCATGCAGACTCAGATCATTCATGATATAAATATCAAAAATAGAATTCCGACGAAGAACTTGTAGAAAGCACTATACCTCAGTTATTTCACATGTGTTATGTGTATTCTGTGCGATTTTTCATGATCTCGATATATTCCAAGCCTAACAGAATCGTAATACATGCGTGTCTAACGCGTAATTTAAATGTAATTCAGCGAGTGAGGTATCCGCAGAAATCGAAACTGACTTCGTTCTGAGGATTAAATGGATCGCGACGAATTGCACGGATAAAACGCAGAATATTTCGGCGCAACTTGGTAAATAGACGGATCTCGGTTGGCAAGAGATCCGCGGTGATTTCGCGTTCCCATGGGAACCTCTTGACACTCCAGTGAAAGTCGATTTGCGAAAGATTTACAAGCTCGCTTCGTTCTTGCACTCGGCTCGTCACAGATGGATTATTCTAGCCTCTGCGGATTAAGATAGCCCCCGCTAATGTTTCTCTCTCGTGTATTTACACACACACACACACACACGTGCACTTGCGCTTGTATAGGATAGACTATTCGACATCGTGTATCGATTCGTTCCTACGAATTCGATTGCAATGATTATACCGTTACGTGCCGCGACATCAAATACCTCGGGATGATAGATGTACCGCTTGACGTACTGCTGAATAATAAAATGTGAACTTGTTTAACGCATGCAACAAGGACATCTACGAAAAACGCTTGCCTTGTGTGTTACATGTTGCACACGAGCAATTTCGTAACCGGTGCACAACGAGCATCTTCCCCCTCCTTTTTTTTTTTTTTTTTCTTTGTCGTTAGGCGTGCTGACGACTGTTATTAGCAGATAAATAGTCCATTAACAAATGTGAAAATTTTGTTTGCAGAATGGAAGTAAACTCGTCTGTTAGTTTGAATAATTACGTAACGGAAATTATTGATTTGTTTAACAGCGTGATAGTACTTCAATTTCTTGAAACTCCGTAAAATTGTGGATTTTAGGTAAAGGACGCGACGACAAGGCATTAGGCGAATCTTTGGAATTTATTTATAAAATTTAATTATTTGTATAACAAAAGAGTAAAAAGAGTGTTACATTAATTAAACACAAATAATTAAAAAGAATATATATATATATATGTACGAAAGAAATTACATCATAAAAATAAATTGAGAAAAAGAGACAAAAGTCATGATGACGAAATTGATATATCAAGTTGAAATCATCGATTCGAAAGGACAAAGGCAAAGAGGCATTTACAATTGCATTTTTAGAAAGTCTCTCAAGGTTCCACGTTATCGGAAAAGCGTACTATTTAATGTCACAGTGGTCTCTTAGGTCGCATAAGACATATGCATGGATTATTCATGATCCGAAGTACGATAAATTCGAAGTTCCGAGCGGGATAGCGAATTAGGCCACTTCCTTACGCATAGCGAGGACGACGCTTCTTTATTATTACCGATTAATGAATCAGCCCTTGTACTGTCACCGAAAGATATAATTCTCGCATAGAGATCGTGCTTCCAGATCCTGCGCATATGCTCGACACGTGCGTCGAATGACAACACGTGAAGGAAACGACGATTCTGTTTCAGGATCGGTATTCTGTTTCCAGGCATACGGCCAAGTAGGAGGTCCTTTCGATTTCACATTTCGAGGACTATGAACTGGAAAAAATCCGGGTATATTCGGAAGAATATTCTGGTTAAAATTCGGAAAAACATGAAAATCGAATTTCTTCACTTCGCGTTTCTTAATTTAAAAATTGTGCACAGTCGGAAAATTATTAATGTGTCTTATAACATAATTATCAGGCTCCGGATATTTGTGCGAAATCATATTCTTTTGGTGAAGATAATTTCAAAAAATAGAACTTGGAAAGAGATTTTCATTATACACTTTAGAAAGAGAGTTTCATTATACGTAACATGTGCTGAATCTTAGGGCATGTGTATGTTGTACAGTGAAGAGCATAACTGAAGCAATAGCAATGATAATTTGAACTGTTATAATTAAAAAGAAAAATTGGTCGCATAACAATCCATCTGGTCTCGTCCAATCTTCTTGGAGATTCCAATCTTCAAATTCATTGTAGATTCGGCCATACATAAAAAATTTTTCGATATTCTTACGTACTATGACTATTTATAGTATTTTCAAGAAAAATAGGCATCCTCGCTTAGCCACGTGATGTGAAACCATTTTAGAATAAAATCAACGGTGCGTTCTAGAAGTAGAAGCTTCGAGTTTGAGTCCAGGTTTATTATTGCACGATTCTTTTTACAAGATTATAATAATTTAAATATTATATATAATATTCTTATAATATTCTAAATATTCTGAAAATTAGTTCTTGAAAAATTCAAAGCATATCTCTGAATATTAATTTATATTATATAACATAATAGACATTCGGATGACCGAGGGATTCGGGTAATAGAGGTTCGATAATTTTCTGGACAGTAAGAATAATTGAAATTGATCAATTATGATTTCTAAACTCTTCACTATTAAGTGCTGCCGATAACCGATTGTACAATACAAGATTCCGCGCGGATAAGACAGACAATAGAAATTCACTAGTTTTTTTAAGTTAATTTTTTCGGTTTCATTTTAACTTTTGTTATAACTTAGCCTACAAAACTTTATTCAATGTTCGTGTCTATTTTTTATCTACGCCATCAACAATTCTATTTTGATATCAATTCTATCTTGCATAACACTAATTTTATATATACGTATCTATATTCAAACGTCCTCAAATGATCTAAAAATATTTTTCTCTCGATTAAAAATCTTTATCGAAGAAAAACAAAAAAAATTAACACTTTTGATTAAGAGATATCTTCACTAAAAATAGTGTAAGTGCAGGTGATAACAAAGGATGAAAACACATATGTACGTGATTCACACACGAATTAATTCACTAAAATCTGATCAAGCATTTCACAGTGGAAATACAGCACGATTTTCCGCCGATTTTTTCCTTCTCGATATTACGTAACACGTAGCATGTAGCAAATTGTGCAAATTATACAAAAATATAGTCGTAACGTTGGACTTGTTCATATATTATACGTATATGCATCCTTTTGAGTTTGGTTTGGATTAGAATTTTTAGAACCTTGAATTTCTCAAATATCAGCATTAATCATGTTATGTCTATCTCGTTCTTGCTCTCTCCTTACATTTCAAATATTTTTGAAAAGTATCTCTAAGAAATAAAATATACATTTCAAAATTAAATGAACTTGGCTGTATATTATTTCTTTTTTTTAAATTGTTACTTGAGATGTCGGAGATACACAGGACATAGAAGATCTCAAAGAAGGAAAGAAAGAGCTTGAGAGAAAATTTTTAAACCAATACATGTATACTTATTCTACGTGACTTCTTTTCTGTTTTATGTCAATAAGCAACGTGTTTCCAATGTGCAGTTATACATATCTGTATGCTACTTTATTTTAATCTTTGTTTGAGGTATTGAAGATATTGATGATACGTAGGATGTCAAGATTTTAAAAAAGAAAGACCTTGAGAGAAAGTTTCATAATGTATAACACGATGTATTTACTTCACGTGACGTTTATTTTATTGTATGTTAATAAGAAACGTGTTTCCGATATGTAAATCGAACGAGAAACTTGATGATAACGTGCTCTAAATTAATTATCCGCCTCGTTCTATAGAAAATAATTTATTTTATCGCTTATTTTATTTATTATATATAATATACATATACGTATAAAACAAATTTACACACTATATATATATATATAATATAATATTTATATAACGAATATATCGATTATTTTAGTTACTCTTTCTCTCAGAAAGAAATTGTGCCACTTTGAAAGTCAGATAGCGTTCTAATAATAGTGAAAAGAATTTTTGTCAAAAGAATTTGCGGTTTCTTCGATTTCGTAAAAATACAAAACGACGCAGCTGTAGGCAAAAATAAACAGCAAGAGGTTTCGATCTGATAAATTTATCAGTCAATTGTGACGTGGGAAACATATCGAGAAACTTCTGGAGACTGGAAGTTTACGATAAACGAAATTGACGATTTCTTGCGTCACTCGATTGTTAATACTATCTGTAATTGAAATCAAAATTACTGTGTGGGCTATTGCATTCCAGACATTGTAGTGACAAATGCGTCGTCTATTTTATTTCGTTCGCGATTTTCCAAAGCGTTCGCACCATACGAGTGGAAATAAACGTGAGCAACGTTTGAATTCAAGAAAAACCGTAGTTGACAGTTTCGATTTCTTAAACGATAAATTGCGCTAATTAACCTTAAGCTCGCTCAAGGAACATCAAATTATCTCATCTTATTCTAATTTACAACACTGCCTGTTCCTCCAAATAGCAGCGAAAATATTCGGTGGATAAAATTCGAATCTATCGCGGTCTTTCTTAACTCATAAACTCATAAACTCATTAATCATATTATTAAATCATGTCAATGCGATACTTGAAGCTTTTGAGACTCTTGTAGAATTTGTTACATAAGAAGATATGCTAGCTGGTAATACAAACGGGTTATCGCAAGTTGATTAAATCTCTCCGTTTTTCATTTCTATTTTTATTAAACATTTTCAGTATGTTTAATCGCACGGTTTTTGATTTCGTTGTATTTTTCCAACGTTGAGAAGTATTTCAATTTCTTGACTGAAGTGTGAGAAAATTGTTGTTGGTACGTATGTATTCTTTTACTGAATTAAAAAGCTTTGTAAGCAACGTTATACGGAATATTATATAACGATCGATATAGATAAATTACGAAAATACTGAAAGAAGGAAGATTATTATTAAAGCGATGACAAATATACTGATTGCATTTGCAAGCAACGAAAGATGTTGTACGATCAATGTCTACTAAATATTATTCATCTTTAAGTAAACGTGAAAAAGATTGGTTGGGTTAAATTTCGTTTACTTTAAAATTGAAAATCTCGCAGTAATGTGAAAATTAACAATTGAAGGGAAAGGCTGCCGAGAAAATGCCAATTAAAAATAGCAAAGAAAAAGTTGCTTGACGTAAAAATTTCAGAACTGCAGTAAGATTAATCTCTACCGCGAAGAAAATAATTGCGGAGAAAATACCAATTAGAATGAAACACGTTTTCCTTCAAAGGAATATAAAAAAGTGTCAGACTTGATGTTCGCAAGCCGTCGAAGAGAAAAATGCCCCATAAGACGAAGCCATAGGAATATATAATTTCGAACGGAAGTTTAATTGGATGGCATTTTAATGAAAACAAATCGTTGGGAACAACGAACGATCTGCGATTTTGTTTACGCTTATGAATCCGAGAATCCGCAGATCACACCTGAACGATGTTCAACTTTCCCTTTTCGCGAATTTTGTGTAACGCTTTTACTTCTAATCTCACGCGAAACGTGTCTCGTCCAGGTGGCGAATCCGCGGCGAAGCTGTTTAATTGTGCCATTTACATACGCCGCGAATGCAACCGGTGACCTGAGTTGAACATGCATCGACCATGCTATGGGACCTCATCGTGAATTTTAAGCGGTTTCGTGATATTAATAATAAATGCGATTGATTCAGAAACGGCCATTCGTAGCCGCCATACCGAGACGTATGGCGAATTGAAACGATCATAATCGGGATTCTTTTCATCTATGTTAATTGGAAATTTTAGTAGCAGCGTCCAGTTTTGCATTGTCTTGGCAATTTATTAATCTACCGAGTAATAATTTGTCATAAATATTTAAAAAGTATTTAAGCCAATTAAATCTTGATTTTATACGATTGTTCGAGAAAATAACGATGGAAAGATGTTGAACGAATTGTTGAAGTTTACTTTTTGTGATTATAATTTCAGAACAATAGAACTGTGAAATAATTGAGAAAAGGAAATTGCAAACGAAATGTTGTTTGTATTTACGTTGATTCTTAATAAGTCAAGCGAAGAAAGTCAAAGAATTTTAATATGGTAAATAAGTATGATTAATTTAGAAGCAATACTTATAGCCAGTTACGAAACACAATACTTATAGCCAGTTACCGAAACACACGACGAATTGCAATTGTCATAATCAAGATTCATTTATCTGGCACTTGAAATCAGAAATTAACGTATCGTTAAGTAATCCAATTTTAAATTATCAATTAATTATTACACTTGATTGTTTGTTAATCCATTAAAAGTCAAGTAATAATTTATCATAAAAATATTCGAATTTCTTTTAACTTTATACGATCGCAGACTCTGGTTAGAGGAAATAACGATGGAAAGATGTCAGAAAAATTCTTGAAATTCTATTTTACAGCTACAATGTTAAACAACGGACTCGATAGTGTAAGATAGTTGAAGTGAAAATTGCAAATGAAATATTGCATTTGCGTAACGTTGATTCTGAATGAATTAAACAAAAAAAGTCAAAGAAAGAAGCGTTTTATTTTTAATGCGGTGAACAAGTATCATTGATTTAAAAGTATCTTTCATAACCACATACCGAAATGTATGGCGATTCTATGGTACTTGAAATCGAAACTTACGATAATTGGTAATTTATTTGATGTTTATCTGACAAATAATAATTATCTGACAAATAATAATTATCTGACAAATAATAATTACGTTGAACTATTCTTTGTTCAACGTAAAATCAAAGAGACGAGCGTTGTATTTTTAATATAGAAAATATGTTTGAGCGCATGATACGTAGGTAATCACTGCTAGTTTCTTATCTTGATATGTTTCAAGTTTTCATTTATTGACAACATTATCAAATGAAATGTGTCATCGTATCTGTGCATTTTATGTAACATTTACACCCTTATTGCCACTTGAACGAGATTATGGTGATAACAATATTACATCTGTATTACTTGTAATATTATAAGCCTTAATTTAAGTTTAAAGATATTTTTCCAATTCTGTTAGAAAAATTTTCATTAATTCTTAAAAAATCTTGAAGTAAATCTAACATAAAATTCCAAATTAAGACGTTTTTATAAAAATTTATGTCATATACTGCACATATTTTCTATATTAAAAAATGTTCGAATTTTTAAAAAGTTCTGAACTATTAAAAAATTCCAAACTAACATTTTTGTTACTATTTTAAAAAAAATATTTCTCTAGTCATTTGTGTTAAATTAAAATATCGACGCAGGATTCAGGATTCCTAAAAAAAAATTCAAACGCAGCAAAGTTTCAAACTAAACTTTAGTATTTCAGGGATCTACTACCCTAAAAATTCTTTGATTTTCGTGTCGAGGAATTTTCATTCACACGAATCCTAAATTCGAGGAAATCTTGAATCAACACTGTTGCAAATTTTTAAACCAAAACTTCAACTATCATTCGTATAAAAACTCTACAATTTCAAGATCAAGATCCAAATCTATCACGATGATTTCTACAGAAATTCCTCAATACCACAAGAATTTTCGTCAATCGAGATCGATGAGATCCTTAAAAAAAAAGTTCCCTAAATGTCATCGTCTTCCAAATTGAAATTTCTACAAAAATTCTTCGTTCTACGTTGCTGCAAACCGAAATCCAAGTTTCAGGCCTGTTCTAACTTTTTCGTGAATCACCGGCGTAGGAAGAGAATGAAAAGAAGAAAGGGACTCACTCGGTGACAATAAGAAACCCAGCGTGAAGATCAAGAAAACCATGACGATGTGTTACTGTCACTTTTCACTGTGCGAGTGGATGCTCCCTCCGGAATCGTAGCGTGTTCCGCCGCCGGTTCACCGATATGTTAACTTAGAAATACGAATACTCTGTTACGGTCGGTGGGCGACTGAGCGACTGCCGCCTTGTCGGCTATGTTAAATAAGAGGCCACTACTTTTATTTCGCGGTCTCTATCGACTCTGCACAAATTTAATATCAGTGAGACAAGGAAGCGCGGATGATGACCAGGTGAATGCGATATATCGAGAAAAGAAAGAAGGGGATAGAAAGTCCGATGGTGATTCCCGATGACTCATTGGCCCTCAACCTTATATCTGAAAACTGCCACTTCTAGAAATTATGACGCGGACGTAACGCATTTCTGAAACCTTGTCCCATTGTTGCGTCCTGGTCAATGACTTCGTTTTCTATTCCGCGTGGTTACCTGTTTCGTTATAAATTAGGGACTGAACTTCAGTCACCGAAGGTATCTGATTTATGACAGATATCTGTACTCGCCAATCTCGGATTTAGTTATTCTACGTGCATGCACGGTTCGTACAGTTTTTATAGTACCTGTTTCCATTGGCGGTGTGCTTGGTTTGGAATTTATGTACTTATGTGATTAAATGTCATTTCGTAACAAGGAGAAAAAATATTTCATTGAACAGTATAAGAGTATATCTGCTCACTGTGTGCAAGATCAATATAATCTGTTTGAAGATTAATCATAGTGATTAATCGCGTCCTCTTTCATAACTCATTTTTTGTACTTTATACGTGAGAAATTAGTAACTAATAATAGTTTATACATGAGACATTTTTCTATGATTTATATACAAGCAATTATGATATTTTGTGCATTGTTCGCGACAGCTCGTTCGTACTTCAGATCTTCAAAATTTTCTACGTATGAATAAGTTTTAAATAATGTCGTAATAGTGTAAATTTTAATTTTTCTTTTACTTTATTTTAATTTCTATTTATTTCAGACGAATTTTGCATAACAAAAAGATAACGTAATATAAATATAAAGATAATGTGTTGTCTTATCAACAAATTATCTTTTTGCTTATTTCTAGAAAGTGTGAATAGTATGTGTTTAAAAGTATGAAATATCAAATGATAAAATTACGAACAGAATGAAAAGAACAGTCCTTTGAAGACGTTCGTGATATTGTATGTACGTGAGCCATGGCTTGCGGTACTTTACGTCCGTAGGAACCCATTACTGCATTTTGAATGTGTCAGCTTCCGTTTGGTGAGATCGTTTCCGCTTACCATTTTTCTCAGTCGTGATGCTCACCAAATTCTTTTGAAATCAATTATTTTCAGTAACTTTATTTATTAGATTCGATTATTACAAAAGTTTTATATATACTCTTCGATTACTACATATTAAAATATTAATAAAAATGTTCATACGTTTGTTGTTATATACATTTTTCTATTTAATAAATATGAATTATATTCATATTTATTAAATAGAAATACAAATTTGAATGAACATCAGTTAAAGGAAAGAAACAAAAGAAAGTTAAAGACGTTAATTCATTATTAACCGCAAAGACACGGTATAGCTAGCAGAAGAGTACGCTTAGGTAGTTGCAATTATTGCATAGAGGTATGAGCACTGTTTTTGTGTTGAATCCTACTTGTTAGCAGCATGAAATATCGACGATAGCTATAACTGCTTCAACAAGCCTTCGAAATATTTGATGAAGGTCGCTACGTTTGATATGTTTCGGAATAAAAGTTTCAAGAAAAACGTCGTTAGATTCGTAGACTCGATTTCACAAGTATTATGCAACGCGTACGTATAGAAATCGTTATGTTTCAAGTAATATTTCGGCTACGCTGACAAAAAGAAGACAAGGGCAAAGGAGAATATTCATTCGCGTGAGGTCAACGAGATAATCATTTTGGAACGACAAGAATAGTTACGATGCGATTTAGACTCCTGAGAATTTTCCATTCTAGTGGGCGAACCACTATCTTGAACAATATTTGAACACTTTGTAAAATGATAACAAGCATTTACAAAGCTAAATATAATTACTTAAATATCGAGTAGTTTTTGTTTCTTTTTAATTTCATTAATTAATTTACTTATTTGAAGCAAGGCATAAAATAATTTTTATTTTATTTGTTATTTGCTCTGTTATTTTATCTTGGATGATGTTAATTAAGTAATAATGTATTTCAAAAATAAATCTTACACATAATAAGATGAAAATTAAAGATTAAATACGCAAAGGCATAGTATAGCAAGCCGAGAAAGTGTATTTACTGCTAAATCAAATGTATACTTACATATGCAGTTATATATTAATTCAATTAATATATAACCACGTATTTGTATAATTCTGTTTCATACCTTGCGTTATCGTATTATATCACAATATTTCAAGATTTAAACACTCGTGTATCTTACGATGACTCGGTTGGTTCATTATTCAATTATTCATTTATTCTTTACATATTTTTAATATATACGTATATATTATGCCATAAGAAGAACGATAGAATCTTGTATTATTTTAATATTTTATATATACCTATATCGTAAAATATTTTACAAAATAATACGTGGAAATTCTTTCTTTAAACTAGGAATAATAAAGTAATAGAGTAACGAAGAATTATAAAATTTCCTAACAATAGAAATTTCTATCAATTTTATATGATTTTCTAATATATTTATGTGAATGAACAAATTCACTGTCAAAATGATGTATTTAGAACAAAAATCCTTACCTTCTGTATTACTTTTTCTTCATTGTTACTAACACAGTTAATTTCATATATTTCTGTAAATGAAGCGAACAAAACCGCGACGTGTTGCATTGAGCTCAGATTAACAATAATAATGACACTTCAACAGTAGCATTTTAACAATAATACTTTAATAATACGTACTTGTTATACTGTACTTTCAATTCAGTCCCCGAAGCTGTCTCCACTTTCAAATTTAAATCGCGCGCTCTTTCTCTCGACCAGCGCGATCTATAGATGTCGCCAGCAGCGTACAAAGGTGAAAACTCTCACGAGTTTCTCTTCTACGTATCGCGCTTCACAGACTGTAGTGCAGCCACTGAGACATTGTCAGAACGGTGAACGTTGCGAACCAAATTGCCAGTCGACCAATCGAGAACCGTTCGTCAATCAGTGAGTACGTTTTCATAGAGTGTCTATGCCAGCAGTGAACAAAATAACTGCTACGGGACATACGCATGTACTTTTGAACGCCGTGGTCGTCGCGATAGTCGTCATCGTCGACGTCGGCCGATCTGAATTGTAGGTAGACGAGAGCAAACTGATTCGCGCCGACAGAGCCAAGCCGTACATAACATAAAAAAGAAACGGGAGAAAGTAAAGAATAAAAAATCTCCTCGTAGTCGAACCTTGTCTCTCAGCGGGCGACACAGCTTCGCAATATACTGACATCGTTATTCTTTATTCTGGTATTTATAGACCGAGAGCCGATGCACCCGATACAGTGATATCTCGATGGTGAAGGAGAGAAACAGGTCTTGGGGGACGAAAAAGAAGCATTTCTTCGTTGTACGCGCGGGCTTTTTTTCCGGGTACGGATTTAGTGATTTACGCGTGTGAGTGCGCCATAGTTACACGAGCGTGAGACGGAAAGAGAGAGACGTATAGAGAATCGGGCACGAACAAGAGCGATATAGGAGTGCTTGAGACGAAACGAGAGAGCCCCGATAGTGAAACGAAGTGAGAACGAGCGCGTTAAAGCAGTGGTCGTGAGGAGAAGGAAGGGATCTCCGTCAAAATGTCGTTGAAAACACCAACGCGGATACAGTGATTGCTTTTCGTCGTTTAACACAGGGGGTACGTGATCTTCCTCCGCTTCGTTCCATCCTTTTTTCTTTCTTTCTTTCTTTCTTTGTTTCTTTCTCTTTTTTCTTTTTTTGGTGTATTTTCACGACGATTCCACTCACTAATTTACCTCTCAAAATGCACAACAGTTTCCACAACTATCTTACCGAAAGGCAGAGAAAAGTCATAGGTGCATCGATTGCGCACGGTCACCCGGTTTCCCTCTGTTTGTTTCCATCGGGCTTTGTATAACTCTGTCGTTACTGTGTGCATAACACGCAACGGCCATCTCGTTACAATAGTGGCCAAAGATATCTCTTGTTTATGCCCGTCCACTCGTATCTCTTGTATTTTTTTTCCACTTCTTGGTTCACCGTACACACAGAATTCGAGCAAGACGTTCGGCAATCTCACTCGCTGTTCCGATGCACCAGGTATTCGTCCGTTGAACCGATTGCTAATCGCGTACCATTCAGGCATTTTCTTTCCAATTCGTCAATTTGACTTGGCTCTCGGAGGAGCTTTCTCCAGTGTTGGAAATTTCAGCTTCCGTTTTGCCTCGGCTATTTTCCCGGATTTCTTTCGCCTGTTACGCTCGGCGAACATTCGTTGTTTCTTTCGCTGTTTGAGAACCGATGAGAATCGAGGCATACTCGAATCTTCAAGATCCTAGGTTACATTACGAATTTGTTTTTTCTCGTTATTCCGTTAATATCCGCTGTCGAGATCTTACGTCCGTTTCTTTTAACACGGGCCTCATTTGGTAATTCATTTTTTCAGAACGTTTCTCTTTTTTTTTTCTTCTGGGAAAGCACAAGCTGCACTAGCGGGAGATTTTCGTTATATTTAGCATTATTGAAAATAACATTCTTCCTCATGGATGATTTGATATTATTCGAGTCGATAATTTTTAGCCAGCTTGAGAAATTGTACAAATAACGTGCAATAATGTGTGAAGATAAATGAATATCAGAATGAAAGTGATTCTGATTCTTTTTATTCAAGTAATAGCAGTTGTATGCAGTGTACTTTGAAAATGTTTGAAGAATTTATGAATATTTGTATAATTTGTCAATCGTTTCAAAGTCAAATTGTGATTTCTTAGATGCAAATTTAATTTTATTAATGTTTTGCTATATTGCGAATAAATTATTTTTTAATGTCACTGAGTGTAAACGGGTATTTTCCTATTTTTCTTTCTTGCAATTTCTATCTTGATAATTATTTTTATATGAAAATAATTTTTTTATTTACAATGAATTTTAATTTCAGATTTTGGTAGAGTTGATCATCTAAAAGTAATAAAATTATGGTGTCAACTCGTCAATCAAGTAGTATGGGTGGAAGTAATGGAGGTGGGCCTGCTGCTGAAATTACAGATGTGAATTCATCAAGAAGGTCTGTAGCAATGGCCAGCTCATGCAGCGGTACATCTGTTTCTGAGCCACCTCCTGACAGCAATTTGAACCTTCTTGATTTACCAGTGGAAATTCTTGAAAAGATTTTCAGCTATTTGGATTATAATACAGTGGCTCACTTACGTCCAGTAAGTCAACATTATTTACTTGATGTTTAAAAAAAAAAAAAAAAGATATATTCATATTACATTCATTTTTTTAGATTTGTCATCAGATGGATCGTGTTTGTGGATCAATTTTGAATTCTACATTTCAAAAGCTTCAAGCACAAATGTTGAGCCGTTTCCAGGCAATTAAAGCACAGATGCCAAGGCGTGAATCCGCACGTCGTAATCATCCATTAGCTTGTGAATCAGACATCATTGAAACCCTTCATATGCGTCTTACCTTGCTCCAAATGAGTTTTGGCAAACACATTGAGCGTAAACATTGTTGTTTTTTCCCTGGAGAGGTAAATGAAGTTTTTCTTGCGTGTTAACATGGTTAAAAGTATGCAACATACATATCTGTATGAATACCAATTTCTAATTGTATTTCAGATTTTAGATGAAGTTTATCGTATTTTGCATTATATAAAAGTTACTCCAAAATTAGCCAGACCATACAAAGTTACAGATGAATTATTTGATTTAAGTACTATGGCTATGGAATACTTTAAAGAACATATTGAACCAACATTACCAGAAATTCCTTATTTTGGAGCTGATTTCCTAGATCTTGCTGGGACATTTTCCTGTGAGTAAAAAATTCAATTTTCGAAATTGAATATATTTGTCTGTTTATACGAAAGTAATATATATTTTTTTGTATAGTAATTTTAATTATTCTATTTTGCATATGATTTATTTAAATGTTACAGCTTCTAGTAATGTGAACAAGCCATTTATGTGCCTGGACTCTACACCTTTAACTGTTGGAACTGGTAAATCAGGAAGCAATAGCGGAGAAGAAGGGTCCCCTCCACATTCTTCAGATGACCCTGGTCTATTAGAATCCAATGTATCACCTCCACAGTCGAATATGGTGTTACGGAAAAGGATTCGTAAAATTAAACAAGGCATGAAGCGATATAATAGCCAGTTAACATTAATGCGTAGAGATTTGAGGAGCTGCAAAGCAAAAATAGCGGAACAACAAAAACAGATCGTTGAATATGCTACGCGTCTTGATGAAAACGATAAGAAGAACGAAGAGACTTCTCGTAAATTCAGCACACTCCTACAGGTATTTACTAAGGTACTCTTAGTATAGTATGATAGAAAAAATACGTGTCGATTTGGCTAGAAATATTAATTGAACATGTCTAAAGTTCAAATTTTTAATAATTTATACTTTCTTATAATTTGTAAAATGATTGATTGTATATTATGCAGGAATTGAACAAGTGTAAAACGGAACTTCAGTATTGGCGATCAAAATCTCCGGCGATACCGGTGTGTGTAGTCTGTGGGCAATCTGTGTTAGTACCAACGGAAGATTTACAAGCTTTAACGAATCAAGGTGTACTACCGGAAACACTTGATGAAGGATTAGATTTCATTCCCATAGCAGATCCGCAGAGTCTTACCGAAGTAGTACCGCAACCAACAGTTACACAACAGCCATCATCACCACCGTCACCACAGCTACCACCACCATCGTCACCACAGCTGCCACCACCACCACCATCACCAACAGTGGAAATGGCACCATTAAAGGCTCCTGTGCCTTCATTACTTCAAAAACGAAAATCTACCACGGAGGAAGCACCGAGTGACCCCGCAAAGAAACCTCGTCGTACTGCCAAGTCACGTCAGGTTAAACGCTCGAAGATATAAATTGATTCTGATCATGGTACAAAAATATCTGTGTAAACATCTTTACACATCTTGGGTTCTTGAAAGAGGTTTTTCTATATGAAGTAACATGTTTCTTTACGCCAGCGAGCGAATGATCTTACAAGAAGTCCCGGGGAATAATGCTAATTTTTTGATAAGTTTTTCCACAATGATACAGTTCGAAATATTGAAGCTGATTTTTTGGGACAAATGATTAACATTTCTAGCTCTATTATTGTACGAAAGCTCGTCAAAAAGTCAGCGTTACACCTCGCGCCTCCTCTTGTTAGAAAAGTACAAAATTCTTTCTTGAACGTCCTATATTTCGCGCAACGAACCTCGTTTCAAAAAATTCTAGCCATGTTGGTTACCGCGCGAAGGGAATTGACGCGATTAATTTTCCTATTTTATTATGGACGGATTTGTCACACACCGTGACGTCTACAAATATTCTAAATGATAGTTGATCATTCGTATCGTTCGTAAAGCAACAAACGAGCTACTTTTTTTGAACCCTTTTAATTATTATTATTATTTTCGTGATGGTATATACAAGGAGGACGGAAAGGTCGAATTTTGTATGAAATGTTTATTTTACATCACCATCACGCTAATAGAGCAGATGACAACATGTAATACGACAACAAGTAAGAATTCACCTTCTGTATTCCTTGTTCACAAATGTTGCACTGATTTTTCATTTACTCGCTAATCGTTTCTAATCTATTTTTCTTTTTTCTTTTTTTGCCGTAATATTTTGCCCTAAACATTTTATCATAATTTAATTTAATACCTACTAGACAATACACAAGAACAAATACCGAAGTGAAAAATTTCATAGTTGAACGAAGGAAAAAATATTCGAGTCACGACAATTCTTGTTTTATTTATATAATTTATTGTTCGTTGCAGTTCTGAATTAAACAAAAATTATTAAATTTGATGAATTTTATTTCAAGTAGGTATTCTTGTCTTTGTAGAAATTTTTGTATGAAATTTCGAGTGGACATTAGAAATGATTCTAGTAAATTTTGTTTTGCAATATCAACAAATAAGTACCTGAGAGGACTTAGTGAGATTAGTTCGCGCAGGTACTCCAAGTTCATCAATATTCATATCAATTTCCTAATTTATCTAAGTCTGCTCAATTAAACAAAAAACAGAATAGAAATGAAAAATAATTTTTCTATAAAAACAATTTATGTACCATTCATGTTATGTTATTAGTTTAAGCCATAAAATGAATAGTGAAAGTCAAAGGCTACGAAAACTGAATTGCTTTTGCGTAGTGACATGTGATATATCGATTTTTTTTCGATTATTAAAGCACGAATGTGTAATTAAAATAATTAATTTAATAGAGCAGCTCACCTAGATGAAATCAAAACATTTGTAATAATATGAACGTTTGTGAGCCTTAAAAAAAAATGCGGAGAAAATGAAAATATACTAAAATACCTTGATAGGTGTTATTTTGTTTTTAACGCGCCATCTTCTAAACGTGTGATTTTCTTCACGAGATGGTGATATTGCAATATTAATAGTTCTAGGAAATAATTTATAGAATCAATTATTTATAGGAAAATTATTATTAGATTATTTTTAAAACATTTTCGGAATATAATTTATCGATTATATCAATCTGAACGAATAATCATAAATTCTACGCTACATTTTTACGAAAAAAAAAAAAATAATAAAAAATATATCAGCAAAAAGATGTGAATCATTATTTAGTAATATTAATGAAAAATTCGCGTTTAAGCAGTTTTTTTAAAAGTCGGACGGATTACCCTGCGCGATGCTCGATGATCGGTCTGCGTAGATTCAATTAATTAATATTTGCACCAATCCTAATTAATCTCAAAGAAGTGTAGTTTGAAATATTGTGAATTAATTATCATTCATGATTCTAGTAATAAATATAAAAAATACTGATAATAAGTAAATGATACTTTATTATAAATATATAAATATATATATGAGTGCGGTACTTGCCAGAATATGCATACCACACAGAACAGTTTAGTTTAATGGAACAATAAAATATGATAATTAATTAATGATGAAATAATTATCGAAATATATATAATTTTTTATTGATGTCAAAAGTTAATTAGGAGAAAAAAAAAATGGAAAAAATAAACTTAGCGAACGGACGGAATAACGAGTACGTCACGAACACGCATGTATGTATGAAATGAGCGAGAGAAATATAAGTGTGCGTGAAATATATGTATATATATATAATATATGTACTATATATATTATATATATATATATATTAAATATATTAAAAATACTAAATTCAAACTTAATGAGAATTTACGATGTGATGCTTTATCGATTTAACTGCGAGAAAGTGACCTTTATTCAAATAAAATACATGTAGGGCGTTTCTGGCTACGGAAGAGGTGATTACGAAAAAAATCCAAGAAATAAAAACGGAAATATGTGTGAATTTTACTTAATGTTATGTTAAATAGCATGCGGGGGCGGGCATAACCGAGATGCCGTGTCGGAAATTTCGAAATGCTTGTAATTGTATGCTTATTATCGCGAATAGTAAAATATGTTCTGACAGATTAAATATTAAGAAAAACGAAAGAAGGGAGGGGGAAAAAAAAAGAAACGAATGAATGAAAATACGAGGGAAAACCTGTGTAACGAGACACGCATTTTACTAAATATAATCTAGGTCCCTGTGAATGTAACAGCATCCCGATATACAGCCTTCAGAAGAATTGTATTTATGAATCAATAACTAAATGTACTCCCACTGAAATATTTACACTTCCGACGAGATACACATTGCCAGTTTATGGTCTTAAAATAGTTTACAGTCATCGGCTTTCCGACATTATCCGTCCCCGAACGATACAAATGTAGCGTTGTGTACTACATATATGGATCTACTAAGGATATACAACCGAATATTACAATAAATACACAATTAGAAGTAGAATAATTTCCTAATTAGTAGTACTAATGCATTGTTAACAATGCGAGCACAGAAATGATAATTTTCGACTTTTCATTCGTCATGACTAGAAAATCCGAGGATCACGGTTCGTTTACAGTATCAGCGTGCTAGCAGGTTGAATGGTCTACGGATTAGACGTGCAATTTACGAGGGGGAATTATCACATACGTGTACTTCGGAAATTTACACATACGAGGAGAAAAAGTGCATGGAAATACAATTGCCAGCGTTACGGCCCGAAACGTCGTACCGCCGAAAAAGAAATATGATTTATCTTAATTGGTTTTACATGTATTAAAGCGATTGTAAATATATATATTAGATACACCTTATAATAAACGTAATTTAACATAAAAAAAAGAAGCACTTCTCGAATGCTTTCTGCGTATATTTCAATTGTGTATATAAAAGAGAGAAAATACTGAATTTGTTGTCGAATTGCTCCTCTACATTGCTCCGCTAATTGGTCCGATACAACCTTGACTTTCACTTTCGTCTGCTAGACGAGCACGTGGTTTCGTTTGACAGTTTGTATTCTTTCTGTTTCGATAGATGGCGACCCTGTTTCTTCCAATTGTCGGCCATTCTCTCAACAGTTGCATTTCCGTCGAAGATGGCAGTGTCTACAGAGACAAATGTTGTGAAATAAATTTTTCGGAATGATTTATCATGGTACCACGACCGTGTCTCTGATCTAAGATGTATTTTGAAATTAGTTTGTGTTTGTTAATATGATAATTTGTCGATCACATCTTCATGGATATACGTGATCCGTCGCGATATAGTTGTGCATTTTACTTGTTGCTGTTGTGCTATAACCTTCCCACGTGTACTTTTTAGTTTCATCTGAGTTCTTCCTTTTCGACGAATAAATTATTGACACAATGGGAGATACATTGCACAAAGATAGATACGAGATATGTAAGTGAAATTATATTTTATATTTTTCGTTTTATCAATTTGTGTTTTTCCGCATTGTTATCTTGCTCTTATTGAATATTATGCGTTATACGTTTGATGATTTTAACGTAGTATTTATTATCCTTGATAACGTATAGATATGATTTTTATTTTATTTCAAAACGAAAATAATTCGTTTTACATTGATTATTTGTGAATATCGAAGCGCATTGATTATTTGTGAATATCGTTTTACATTGATTATTTGTGAATATCGTTTTACATTGATTATTTGTGAATATCGTTTTACATTGATTATTTGTGAATATTGTTTTACATTGATTATTTGTGAATATCGAAGCGCAAATTATATTTGATGTATTTTGTGGAAACAGCAAATTTAGCAATGCGCAGTGGAGGTAATATAGGAGGTGATAGTGATATGAAACTGGAACCCTCTAGTCCCACAGAGAAGTATACCTTTTCTCGTTGTAGTAGTACTGGGTCAGTGAATACACCGTCTTCGTCTGCTCATAATACAGGTTTGAAACAGTGATTGAAATAAGTACAGTGAATATTTTTAGAAATAAATTTTTTGAAATATATGAGTGACATTTATTAATGAATCTCATTAATTGTAGAAGATGAAGATAGTGATAACAAAAATTCAACTATAAGTTACAAAGAACGTAGGAGGGAGGCTCACACACAGGCTGAACAAAAGAGAAGAGATGCTATCAAAAAAGGATATGATTCTCTTCAAGATTTGGTTCCTACTTGTCAACATACTGATTCCTCTGGTTATAAACTTTCTAAGGCTACTGTACTTCAAAAATCCATCGATTATATACAATTCTTGTTGCAACAGAAGAAGAAACAAGAGGAAGAACGTAATGCATTAAGAAAAGAAGTTGTAGCATTGCGCATTATGCAAGCTAATTACGAACAGATTGTGAAGGCTCACCAGACTCAACCAGGGCATGCAGAAATGCATATACCTGATGAAACCAAATTTCAAGTGGTAAGATTAAGATATTGTAAAATTGCAATATCAAATTAAGATTTTTTACTGTCTTATTTTGAAGATATTTCATAGTTAATTTATTTATTATTAGTTCCAGGCAATTATGGATCGTTTATTTCAAACATTCAATAACATTTCAGTAGCAAATTTTGCAGAATTATCTGCATGTGTGTTTAGTTGGTTAGAGGAGCATTGTAAACCTCAAGTGAGTAAATTACTTTTCAGATTATTATAAATATTTTTTTTTAATAAGATAAACGTATACCATTTTAAAAATAATGCACTTCAAATATTTCAGACTTTACGTGAAGTAGTACTCTCTGTTCTCCAGCAGCTTAATAGCCAAATCAGCTAGTCATATATATATATATATTTTTTTATTAGATTATTTGTGATTGCACAACTTTATAAAATCTATTTGCGGGTACTTAGATCAATTAAATAGAGTTACCAGAAAGGATCGGAGTATGAGTTTTTGCATAATATGGGTAGCATAATGATTATACAAGAAATATAAATAGAAATTTATTTTATATACTAATATTATAGGTGTAACATGGTATGTTATTTGATAGTGACCAATATTAAATATTTTTAACAGAGAATTTTTTATGAACTTTGCAGCATATATGTATAATACAGAATGTATATGATTGTATTGACTTGTATATATGATTGAATTGTACATAATACGTTGACTTGCAACATCATAGTATAGTTTGAAATAAAAATCAAATTGTGTGCATTTATACGTTGTATTTACAACTATTAACAATGAAAGACATATAATGTTCCTTATTTTGTGTGTAATTAGTCTTCTCTTAAGAGTACCAATTTACGTCCAAGAATTTCATTCTTGATGTTAATTTTATATTTTGTATAGTTTCTTTTGATTAAACCTTCTCAGATTCGGTAGGCATACTTTCTCCTTGTGTAATGTCGTTCAGAAGTATGGCATCCAATCTTGGTCTGTTAGGATCGTCGTGTTCATGCTGAGGACTCTGAGGACGTCTTCTTTTTGATCTGTCCTCTGGTCTACAACAGAGATCTCTGAAGATACAGGCATAGCAGGCTAGCAATGCGCTCATCATCATTAAACCACCAATTGCAAGAATCACCACTAAGAATATCGATATTTCGTCTCCCATGTTATATATTTTTGATCGTTTTGCTAGCTAATGTTTACAGCATCTGTAACAGAAGTTCATTGAAATCAAATATTTATTATAAAAATTACCGATTTAGCTATTCCTTAATTTTACATTTTAATAATTTTATAAAGATTTAATACAACGTAATCTCTAATATATGTGCTATAACTTGATTACCATTGATTTTCTATTTTTATGAATAAATGGAGAGAGAGGTGGTCTCAAGAATTTACATAATTTTCAATGAAACTGAACTCATAGAAAGTTACATTACAATTTTTCTTTAGATAACACGCGAGCAGAATAGTAATTATTCGTTCTATTCCTTACCATCGTCCTACTGGCATTCAGTTCTTTGATATTAAAAAATAATATCAAAATTATCATCTTATATCAAATTATAATTGCTTATCCTACTCTTTATTTGTTAGAGAATAATTAACAAACATTTATATATGCCAGTGCAGGACAAAGGAAAGTTTACAGAGACATTAAAAGTGTTAATATAATCTCTTACGTTTATTTATTGTCAAATAGAATTTTAAAATAGGTAATGATACTGTTTTCTTATCGTTCATCTCTTAAAGTTTCTTTTATCCGTATATTGTGTATAAAATAGACGCGAATAAATATTCTCCTGCAAATAGCTGTCCTTTCCTTGAAACGAAAAGTTCTTGAATACGAAAGAACAGTATCCATTCATACTTTGTATAATCCACTTTATTCTTCGATAGTCACGTACATACGTGCGAGAAATCATTGAGCGAATTGCTCCTGGAGTGTTTCACCGAGTGCAATTTAGAAAATTAAATCTTGTAGGCTTCGTGTCTCTTTTATGAAACAATATCTTGTCTTTTAGTGACGATATCATTGGGGAAAAATGATCGCTATTTATTCCCTCGAAAATCTTCCATTACAATTCCTCATTTTTATCCTCTTAGAGGCAACAATTTTATGGTGAAACTTTTTCTTCAATTAGTAACATTCTTCTTATATGACTATTTTCAATAATTATTTGAACTAAGTAAAATAAATTAAAATAAATGTAATGTTTCAAGCAAAGCCGAAATATTTTCAAAGTTACACGCATAGATTATTTATTATTTATCTGAAATAATATGTTACCCAGCTTTGACCGCATCAGTGTTTTATGGTGGATAAATAATATAAAGTATGTTATATAAATAATAATATAAATAATATAAAGGATGGTTGCAATTTGTGGATCTTCTAAATAGAAATATGTGTTTAATTCTTGCTCCTCTAAATGTAGAAAACTTAACGAGGACGCAGTACCTTAGGGACGATATAATTTTAACGTGAGCATCATATCTTTCATTTTTATCTTTTTTTTTTTTTTTTTTTTTTTTTTGGAAAAAAAAAAAAAAAAATTTAAAATTTTTTTTTTTTTTTTTTTCCCAAAAAAAAAAAAAAAAAAAAAAAAAAAAAAATTCTCAAGGAATTGCTATTTATTGTCACCTAAAAAAAAAAAAAAAAAAAAAAAATAACACGAAAAACAATTAACATTCAAAGGAATAACAAATTACAATTAACAAACAAAAAAATAACAAAAAAAAACTAATATTCTCGCTAAAAACAAAAAATTCCCAACTAAAATGCGCCAAAAAAAATTAATATTCTCAACTGGGTTGCTCCAAAAAAAAAAACTAATATTCTCGCCTAACTGCTCCAAAAAAAAAAAAAAAAAAAAAAAAAAATTCTCAAGTTATTGCTATTTATTGTCACCTAAAAAAAAAAAAAAAAAAAAAAAAAAACAAAAAAAATTAAATTTAAAAAAAAAAAAAAATTCCAATTAAAAAAAAAAAAAAAAAAAAAGAAATAGTGGCGGTTCGGAATTCTTTCGCGAACCGAGAAAATCGAAAACTTTGAATTTCACCCGATATGTGTGTGTGTATATAGATATAAAAGTTCGCGATTACTCTTTGCCAAACTTCAGTTTAATCTGTACGACTTTTTAGATTAGCCGGGACACGCGGAGATCCGTCGAACGTCTTCCCCTAAAGTTTCGTGAATCAAGTTTGTCAACTTTGATGCGAGGGACCGGCGATGCTTCACACCGGTGAACACAAGGTACACGCGTGTTACGTTCCACCTGGAGTGGATCCGCGCGAGTAGGCAAAGAGGGAAAGAGGAGGAGGAGGAGGAGGAGGAGGAGGCGCCAGCAGCTGCATTTTGTCTTTAGAAGGAAATTTCTGTTCCTGTTTCCCTGGTACCATCCACCGTCTTACAAGATTATCTCCTCGGCTCTGTCGTTGCCTCGCGTCAAAAATGAATTCATAACGCGAGAGAAAGAGAGAGAGAGAGAGAGAGAGAGAGAGAGAGAGAGAGAGAGAGAGAGTATTTGCATCATACAAAGGGTAAAGCGTTCGGCTTGCAATGTTGCTTTGACGCTGCGGATGCAGGAAATTAAAAAACTTCGAGATGGAATAACTTTCGGAATATTAATCCCTCCATGGGGCGAAGAAACGAGGAAAATGAGCTGCTTTTTTTGTAACGAAACGGTCGGGAGCGTCAAATTGCGAGATGATACGTCAGAGAGTGGAAACGGATGGCAGATAGACGCGAAATGCATCCGATGAAATTTTCATTGATCGCTTATTCGTTGTCGACCGACCGGGGGCTCGGACTGAGGATTAACCGTACGTTGACCGAAAGATTCCGAAGATCGATACGTCACGGAACGTATCCATGGCTACGAAGTGTGGTAACGATAACGGTTAGATCGAAACAACATTCGCGCCCTGATCCCCCATAATTTCAATCGGCGCGATCGTTGCGAAAGTACGAGAGCGTATTTCCATATTTCTTTCCGAGTTGCGAGTTTAACCGAGAGTTCCCCGGGCGCGCCGAAAGCCGAGAAGTTAAAGGAAAAATGGTCGCTCGTTACTCGGGCAACTTTCCGCGACAGCAACAAGTTTCGGACGTTACTAATAGCGAAATCATTCTCTACGAGCTCCTCGGCCAACTTTTCAATAACACGCTAACAAAAATCTATCGCGAAACCGAGCGGAGAAGTCTCTCCCCCGAAACTTTCGAACGACTTTCGAACGATATTCTCCGCGTCGGGCATCGATCAACTCGCGAACATGACGCGGCCGTTTTATTCCAGAACGTCACGCGTATTATTACTATTTTCAACAGAAACGTATCGGAATTTTTTGGTAGAATTTTCGCCGATAACACGAGCGAGAGGCGCGTGTCACGCGGTCGCTGCGTAAAATGTTTTTTTCCCTTTCGCATTCTTTTCGGAGATTTCCAGAGATTTACTCTCCGGTGAATATACAGGGTGTCGTGTAACTGGTGGTACGAGCGGGAAGGTGGTGATTCTATTTGAAAAACTGAATAAAAGATATATAGAATGAAATTTTCTCACACGACGCCTTGTTTCCTTGTAACTCGATTATTGGAAGACATTCGAAGAAATTTAATTTATCAACAAGATGGAGTACCATCGTATTTCAATCGTGAAGCGAGAAATTTTTTTAAACGAAAACTATCAATATTAGATCGGCCGCAATGGAAGGATACCTTGGCCATCACCATCTCCGGACTTGTCACCGCTCTCTTGGATTTTTAGTTATGGAGTCGTGTTAAATCTATGGTATATTCTAGCGACACAGCGAACGTTGAACAATTAAAAGTTGCAACATTAATACCACGAAATAACAGATTAAAAAATGTTTGTAGAAATTTAATAAAAAGAGGGCAGTTATGCATGCAACAACGTGGACATCGTTTCCAACAAAGGTGAAAAGTAGTACGAAACATTGGAAATGTTTACAAATGTTAGTTAGAGATAATAATGAAATCCGTTGAGTTGTATCTTGATCAAGTGCACGCGTACTCGATAAACTTTCAAAGCCAAATTTTTCGCGGAAACAAAGCTTCGTATGAAAAAATTTTATTTCTATATTTTTTATTCAGTTTTTCATATATAGAATCACCATATTCCTGCTTGTACCATCAGTTACACGACACCCTGTATATACACGTATATATATTTAGCGGTTAATATTCTCTGTCTGTTATCTGGGAACTTATAAATGGAGGAGGAGGAAGAGAGGAGGAGCTTATACTCGGAGCTCGTATCTAACCGAGACCTAACAGAGCCGCTGGTCCTCGGAATTCTTATGGCTGACTCGTGCAGTCTGCTGCTACTGCGCCCGACTCTCTACGGTTCGCTATTACTGGAAACGTTGTCCGCGTCAGATTATTTCGTTTATTTTTCAGCCGACGGCGATATCGATAACTATGACGCACAAATCCTTTTTCCGATGTTAATAATTGTAGCTTTTAACACTACACTCGTATCATTTTCCCGAAAAAATATTTATTTACAACGAAACGCGCAACATACAGAAACGTAACGCATTTTTGTGAAATTGAAAAATCCGTTATAATTTTTACGCTGTGAAAGGTTATTAAAAATATGTTGTATCTTTTTGCTTGTTTCATTTTTTTTTTTTTTTTTTGGTTTTTTTTAATTTTTTTTTTTTTCTGTTTCAACGTGTTATCGAGCGCAGACACGTTCGCAGAAATGTGTCCCAGCAAATTTTTTCCGCAATTCCTTTGCGGGATGAAAGATGTTCCACGACACAAGGGGATAATAAACAATAAACGAGTACAGACGTGTCTGTCGATACGACGTCGTTCGTGCTTTTACCGACTGTCAGAATAATTGTATAGTTGCCCGTTCGAAACGCGATGGCTTTGCAGATCATTTTTACGCGATTACACTCTTTCGTTATTCCAAGTTGGAAATTTGTCAACTCGGCTTTTCGACCTCTGTCTGGTTCTTCTCGAAATGTAAACAAAAGTGACAGAAGAAGAAAATTGATCAAAGGGATACGATTTTTCTGAAAGCTCACTGGGACAATGGAGTTTCATTGAGCGAAGGATGTGAGTGACACGTACTTGACATCTAGGATGCTAGGATGTTTAGAAGAAAATTGTTCGAACCGAATGATTTAAATTCGATTGATCGTATTGAATGGAAGATGCCACGAACGAATAAAAAAGAATTTAGT